AAAGTAAACGTAAGTAAACAGCCAGAAATAGAACCAGAGCTTTCGGACAACACTAGTCCTTCCTCATATTATATATATATTATATATATATTATATATATATACTGTATGTGTATGTGTGTGTGTAAATATATATGTAAATACTTACATCTTTTTATTGTCATTGTTATTACTTTTATATAATTATATATAATGTTTATGATGATAATATTTATAAGGATAATAATAATAATAATTATTATTATTATTGGTATTTTATGTATTACTTTACAATTAATGCTGTGTTCTCATGTTCCATACACCATAACTTCTTGGTTTTTACAGGGGGTTAAGTCTTAAAATGTTGACTTATTTTGACCTCCTTTCACATTTCTAATAACTGCTATCTGACTTGCATTTATATCAACTATTTAACCATGTTTTCTTATACCATTGTCATTATCTTAATTTTGTAATGTTAAGTTGAAGTGTGAAGAAACCAAAACAAACAAAACAAAACAAACAAATACTGAATTCCAGGTAACCCCGGCCACTCGTATAAGACAAGGGACTCCTGCAATTAACATAATTTAACCATAGATAATTATATTCTTAAAAGATCACCTCTTTCATCATAAATGAAACATTTTTAATTCTGTCTCTAGTTGCCTTGGTAAAAGCAGCCTTATCACGACGCAAGTGCAGCAGCATTTCTGCCATATTTCTTTTCAGCGTTTTTACTCGCATATTGTAATACATTTTCTTCTTAACCACAGTTGCCTAAAGAAAAACAAATAATGTTTACAGATTAGCACTTTCATGAACTCCAAAAAATATGGACACCTATAAATTGAATGTACTGTAGACAAACTGGGCCTTCACATATGAAATCAGATTTCAATTCTGGGTCCTAGGCATCATCTATACATGGTTGTTATTTTATACCTGGTGCAGTATATACTTTTTAAAAATTAAATATTTCCAAGAATTGTTTGAGTATTTTTACTTTCACTTATACCTCTGCTAATTCTCTCATTGCTTTGTTAGAGACATCCACTGTATCCAGTCTTTGAAGCTGAGGTAGATGATAAAGTATATGTGTTGAATAGTTACACAGGGAGCAAACTGGATTTGGAGCATACATCGGATCCTTCAAACCGAGAGTATGTAGATTTGGTAGCCTGACTAGTCCAGTCAGATCCTGTAATAACAAAATTCAAAATGGCTACTTTCATAAATTTTCTTCCCTTATATTGCAAATTTTAGTTTAAATATGATGATATAACAAATACAAATAATAACAATGTGACATTCAAACCACAATAAAATTCAATAACTGCACCCATTACTTGTTTATGAAATTTAACATGAAACTTAATAATTGGGTTTCATTCTCATTATTAATTTGAATTCATTTTTATTACAACCCTTTATTTTTATCTATATCTTTTATACATTATCTTTATTACTCTTAAAATGTGTTTTAACAAAATTTTTAAATGTTTAAATAGGCATAATGTCCTATTATATAAAGAAAAAAGGGTTTCACATTAAAAATATTTATTATTATTATTATATAAATATTTAGATTGTTTACAGCTTATTTTGTGTGTACAATATTTGTAGTTCTCACTTTTTATTACCTTACCTTAAAGGAACAAATTCTGTTACCCGACAGGTTGAGATTTTCAAGGTTGTTGAGACTGTCAAGACCATGTCCTAAAATGTTGAAATTTATTATTAACAAAATTTAATGAATTTTCTGTTGAAGAGAAAACAGGAGTAATGTGTCTTTTTTTGGATATAATTAGATATAAATACCAATTAAATAAGTCTTATAATTCCTAGATCAAAAGATTCTAACCAATGCCTGACCACGCCCACTTACACTTTGGTTGTGGAAAATCGCCAC